TCATTACTCGAAGTTTTAATTACGGTGCGTGAAGTTCCAGCAATTTGCATTAAGGCACGATGCCATGCACCACTAATTTTTTTAGCTATAAACCTTGCGGAGCCCGAGACCTTTCCAGAGAATGCAAAATTATCGCAATCGGTTCGTGCGTTCTACTATAATGTTGCCTACAATTTTTATAATTTCGTATTATATTTTAACTGGCTTTTAGTATTTTAATATCTAAATTGCATTTTTCACACTAATAATTCAATATACATTATTACTTAAGTACATATTTGAAGTGAATTAATTTGACAAATTTTGTTCACATGTGCTCTATTCAACCTACTATCAACAAAATTATTGCAGTAAATGGAAAGGGAAAAAGCGTATGCCCAGCTAATCTTAATCTAAAGTTCAGAGGTGAAAACAATTTGCATTTAGTTACCACCCCCCGCATTAATTGGATTATAACTCTTTTTATTCTGATTTTATCATAACTTGTAATATACTATTTTATAAGTGATTAAATGAGCTACAACTTTCTCTATCATAAATTTTACCGTAACTTATCTTATTTTGAAACGGCAAAGGGTTAAAGGGCTCGAAAGACACTCCAGTTGGACAGCCGCGCACTCTTTAAACAATTAGAACTCTATCAATATTTGTGTAACAAAAAAATAATAAAAAGCAATAATTAGTCTGAAAAAACCTTGAATTTTCATATATATACTTTTATACGTATTTTTCAGAGATATTATAATGAGAAATTGGTTATTTTTTTAAGTGGATTTTTTATGAAATCATGAGTTTTTTGAAAATCGTTTGTACTAATGTTATGGTATTTTCTAGAATCCATCAAGATCTCTCAAACCAAGTTAATTCTAGATGGAACACGATTATTTTATTGAGTAAATATTCCGTACAAAATGCCAACCATATGAATTTGTGACACAATGAAACTTCTAAATAATTTTTTGAATAAGTAATTTTTTTTGTATTGTGACTTAGTATAGTAAGGCAAAAGGACTGCAAATTGAATATTTTTGAGCGCAATCAATTATGGCTCGTCTCCTTTGCACGAATTCGTACGGCGAATCTGTTCGCAAAGTGCGCAAACAAAATTATTGCAAGCAAAAGCAAACCACGCGTACATTGAGAACACGATTCGCTGTGCGCGTCAGTCGCATGCGCAGACCGTCAGACGCATGTTATATTATTTGCATCTTATATTATTTTAATTATGGCACATCTCAGCTGCTTTTCGACAATAATAATGTAGACATTTTATATATAATCATGAATTTATTATATTTTAATATGTTTGGCAAATGACAGTTGTCATTTGTTTTTAATGTCAAACTATGCCTTAAATATTTTAAAGGTCAAACAATGATAAGCGGTTTTTTGTAATTTTTTCCATTTAATTCTACAATCTAACTATATTTCTATGAATCTAAAAATTCTTGAAAATTTCCCGAACAAACTTCAGAAAGATTCATGAAAATTCGAATTATAGTTTAGGAGGATTAATCATTCATACACAGTTACAGAAGAATTTTATATATAGATAAGATAAGATAGTAATATATATATATATATATAGAGATATATATAATTTATATTATTATATGCTTATAGATAAATATTATATATATTTATATATATATAATATAATAATAATAATTAATATATTACAATATAAATAATATATTATATTATATATATATATAGATATATATATCTTATATATAAAATTCTTCTGTAACAATGTAAGTTTCATTAATCCTCCTAAACTATAATTCGGATTTTCATGAATCTTCCTGAAGTTTGTTCGAGAAATTTTCTAGAATGTTCTGATTCATAGAAATATAGTTAGATTGTAGAAATAAATAGAAAAAATTACAAAAAACCGCTTATCATTGTTTGCCCTTGAGAATATTTGAAGCTTAGTTTGACATTAAAAACAATTGAAGACTGTCATTTGCCAAACATTTCTATTCACTTATAGACTAAGGCAATATTAAAATATAATAAATTCATGATTATGAATAAGGAAAATGTAATGTCTACATTATTAATGCCGAAAAGCAGCAGAGATGTGCCATGTTCCATCCGAGCCAATCTGACAGTCCGAAACTGTTTCAAACTAGACCAAACTCTTTCTGATTTTTTCACGGCAGTTGGCAATGGTTTGGTTTGGATACATCCAACGCGTTCGAACTCGGAGCTCACTCGATAATAATAATAATTATTAAATTAATATATTATTTTAATACATAAATATAAGTTAATATATATATATATATATATATATATATATATATATTAAACATATTCTAATAAAATATAACTTAATTATATCAATGAATTTGCTTTTTAATATTTTCTAGTTATATCGTTATGTCGCTTTAATCTAATATTCTACAATGTTTGGACTCTTGTAAATTCATTAAATTTTTAATGTTTTATTTGAGATTAAATAACATTATATTTTAATCGTATTGAATTGCGGAGTTTTTGTTTGTGACGGGTACAAACACAAAATGATAGTTTTAAACTCATCGGACTTGATGGAATGCATTACTGACAATTTGCGAACAGATTCGCCGTACGAATTCGTGCAAAGGAGACGAGCCATAGTTTATAGTTTATAGTTTATAGTTTGGTGAAAAGTCTCAGACATAAAGAAATTTCACCTCTAAACGCTTTATTGTACGTTACATAATCATGAACATTACCACTTAATTTCTGAGTGACTTTGAACATGGGTAACGCGTATTTACGCTAAAATATGAAAAAACAAAACAAAAAATTAAATATATATATATATCGGAGATCATGAAACCGCAAGTGACGCGATCCGAGTTCATCCCAAGTCTGGAATGAAAAGAAAAATTAGATATGTTCAGTTGAGACCAACTGAAACATTTTAGATAATCAATGCATGTTTTCAGAATATGATGCACAATTTAATATCTTCCTTTTGGGCACCGTTAGAAGATCAGGAATAATAAATGCAATGTCGACAGTTGCTGATAGAAAATAGACTTGAATCAATCCTGTCCGTTAATGTGCGTCAAATTCTAATGTGGATCTGCAAAAAGGAAGAAGCGCAGTATCAAAAAAGAAATATAATAATAAATGAATTTGAATAAAAGATATTTTATATAGAAAGGGTTAGTAAAATTTATTAAATAATAAAATTTAGGGAAAAGATGACATGAATGAGAGGCAGATGATTACTAAATTATCATTGGTTAGCAAAGTATTGTTTAATATCAAAATTAACAAATTCTGAAATATCATAGAAATATTGAGCTTTTAAGAATTTTACTATAGTATTGTGGAATTTATGATTATTTAGTTTTCGTATGTGAAGTGGTAGTAAGTTAAAAAGTTGAATTCCAAATCCGTCAATTGAGTTAAAAGACGTTGCAAGTTTAAATACTGGTGCTTTAATAGTTAAGTTTCTTGTCTTGTAATGAGAATTTGACATTGAAGACAAATTGAAACGTTCGGGATTATTTTTTATAAACGATAAAGTAATGAGCAAAAATATACTGGGAACGGTAAGGATACTATGTTCACGAAAAATGTTTTTACAAGAAGATAATATGACAAGATGGCGTCAAATAAACATGAGTGTGCAAAGTGTGCTAAAGAAATTAGAGAAAACGTCAGTAGTTTGTGCTGTATTAATTGTAAAAAGTGGTACCATAAAAAGTGTAGTGGGTTGGATAGCGCTGAATTCAATAGATTGGCAATTAGCTTTAAAAAAACTTGGTATTGTGGCGGCTGTGATTTGGAGGTTAGCCTCATTTTTTCTGAAGAGGAGGATGACAACTGTAATACAGTGTCGACACCTATACTACAACAGCTGGAATCTCTTTTAGAGTCGAAGTTTTTAAACATTTGGAACCATTTAAGCAGGAATTAAGAGATTTGAAAAAAAATGTAAAAACTTTGGAAGGGGATATAAAGAGTTTGAAGGAGTCTAGTAAAACCATAGAAAATGTTAAAAAAGTCTGTGATAATAATAGCAATGTTTTATCAGAACTGGGTAAAAAGGTTTTGAAAATAGAGGACAGATTAGATTTTAGTATCAACGATATGCTTCGTGAGCTGACGATCGAAACGACGCGAAAATTGTATCATGGATACAATATCCCAGAATCAAATAAGAGTACTGGAATTGAAAGGCAACAGGAGGACACCGTTAGCTTCACACACCTCCTACCTGTTAACTGTAATATCAAGACTGGGGACATGAAAATCACTAGAATTGGTAGGCCATCTCAGGGGAAGGTTCGCCAGTTAAGATAACACTATCCTCAAAAGATGAAGTAAATATAGTTTTAAGATCCAAGTTGAATAATGACAGCGTTAAACTAACGCATGACCTAACATTGAATCAAAGGGAAAAAATAAAGAACCGCGAAAAGAACTGCAAAGCAGAGAAGAGAATGGAGAGAAGAATCTGGTAATTAGATATAAATTTGTGAGCCTTTTATTGAAAGAAAGATTATTTCAGAGTGCTCATCGAGGTTCAGAAACAAATTAGATAACATCTCTATATTGTACCAGAATGCAAGAGGATTACGGACATTAAGGAGTTTTATTCAACAACAGCGTCTAGTGGGGGATATCATTTGTATTTCTGAATCATGGTTAAATAATAGTATTGCTGATGGCGAAGTGATAGATAATACATATAGATTATTTAGAAGAGATCGAGATAATGTACCTAATCAGAAGCAACGAGGAGGAGGTGTTTTCATCGGAGTGAAAAAACACATCCAAGGCAGATCTGATAAGTGTTACCCACCAGGATATCGAACAAGTATTTGTAAAAATTAAGTTAGGGTCAGATCTATTAATTATTGGAAATGTTTATATTCCTCCATTGAGCGATATATGTATTCATGAGAAACACGTTAATGATCTTATTAACATAGTCAAGAAATACCAGGTTGTAAAATTCTATTCATGGGTGACTTCAATCTTCCTGATACTAGATGGAGCTACATGGCACGGAAGAATTTTTTGGTGACTCAGTACAAGCGGGTTTCGTCATGGAGCATTGTTCACTAATTGGGCTGTCACAAATGAACAAGGTGGCAAATAGTAATGGTAATTATCTTGATCTCTTCTTCACTAATTGTGATCTGTTAGTTAAGAAGTCGTTTAACCTGGTACCGGAGGACAAGTATCATCCTGCAATTGGAACAGAAATTAAATATTTTGATACAATTAAACCTAGAGTAGTGAAATACTTCAACTTCAAGAAGGGTGACTATGGCGCTCTCAACAACCTTCTCTTGCAAGCGAACTGGATATCTATGTATCAGATGAATAACATTGATGATATTATTGCTCATTTTTATAGTATTATCTGGGATGGAATATTTACCACAGTACCTCAAGTAAGCAAGAAGTGCAGTAGATATCCGTGCTGGTTTAGCAAAGATTTAATTAGCAAAATAAAGGCAAAGAGAGACGCTCACAGTACTTATAAGCGAACGGGTTATGGAACTGATTATACAGCTTTCAGCAACTTAAGAAATGATTGTAAGAAGATGAGTATCCAGTGCTACAATGACTTCACTTTTAGGGCAGAAGAAAAAATAAAAGACAATCCTCAGTACTTCTGGAAATACATTAAGATGAAAAAAAGTTCTGATAGGGGTATTCCTACATCTATGGAATGGATTGACAAAAAGGCAGATGGAGCAGAAAATATATGTAACTTGTTTGCGGCATTTTTCAAGAGCACATATGATAGGGAATCAAAATTACTACCAAATGAATTTGACGCACTACTAAATGGTCTGTCCAATGGCAACACTAACCTGAGTAAGATCGAAATCAGTTTTGATGAATTGCTCCAAGGATTGCTATCATTGGACAGTTCCATGGGATTTGGGCCAGATGGAATACCAAACTTGTTACTAAGAGAATGTTCAGTGGGCTTGTGTGAACCTTTAAGTTTTATCTTCAATAAGTCATTGAAATGGGGTGTGTTTCCAGTTGTCTGGAAAGATGCATATGCTGTCCCTGTGTTCAAATCAGGTGTGAAATCTAATGTATGTAACTACAGACAAATTTGCATTCAATCCGCTCTACCCAAATTATTTGAAAAATTAATTTATAGTAAAATTGAATTTTGGTTTAGAAGCACTCTAATTAATCAACAACATGGTTTTTATAAGGGCAGGTCTACAACTACTAATCTCATGACATATGTGGAATATATAATGCATCAACTTGAGAACAGAATGGAAACACACGCTATATACACAGACTTCAGTAAAGCCTTCGATTTGGTTAATCATGATGTGCTCTTGATGAAGCTTAATAAATATGGGATTTCTGGCCGGTTATATAATTGGTTTGAAACCTATTTAAGAGGTAGGAAACTACGGGTGAAATTAATTGACTCCATTTCAGATGAATTTACGGTCTCTTCAGGAGTGCCGCAAGGATCTCATCTTGGACCGTTGTTATTTTGTATATTTGTGAACGACATTGGCAATGGTTTCTTGTCTGAGTTTTCATTATTTGCGGATGACTTTAAAATATACAGAGGCATAAGGAACGAAAGTGATTTGTGTGCACTCCAGGAAGACCTAAATCGTTTATTTAGATGGTGTGAATTAAATAAATTTAAACAGAATGTTAGTAAATGCGCAGTCATTAAATTTTGTCGCGGCAGTGAAAGCCACTCTAATCATCGTTATTCATAGCAGAAGAAGTACTTCCGCAGGTAGATGGTATTCGTGACTTGGAGTATATATAGATAGAAGGCTAGCATTCGATGGTCACTTGAACAATATTGTGTCGAGGGCAAATAGTATACTCGGTGGTCTGCTCAGAAACAGTGGAGATTTTCAAAATGATGCTACCCTGAGTGTACTATTTGATACCTTAGTTAGACCAATTTTAGAGTATGGGTGTATAATTTGGGACCCGATTTACCAATATCAAATTGACAGAATTGAATCTGTCCAGAAAAAATTTGTCAACCATATAAGATTCCGCCGATATAAGAATAATATTCAGATACGTCGGTCCCAAATGTACAACCATCTAAACATTACGCCACTCGATGCTAGACGAAAATACCTCACCTTCTGCTATGGAGTAAATATTGTGAAAGGTGCTTTACATGTGCCTGAACTTCTTGAACGATTCAAATTTGTTATACCTAATGTTAGGTTACGTTACAATAGAACTTTAGAAATACCCACTGTTAAAACCAAATTTGTTTCACGCGCACCCATATTCAGAATTTCGAAAGTAATAAATGAATTTGCTTCTGAGATTGATATATTTGGTCTGTCGGTGTCGAATATAAAAAATCATGCCAGAAAAATGATCCTTCAAGACTGTCTTAAGTAGTGATTTATAGTTTATTAAGTGTTTAATTTTATTAGTTTTTATTAAATGTTTTAATTTTATTAGTTTTTATTTAATGTTTTATATTTGTAGTTTATATATATTAAGTGTTATGTATATTTACAAATCTATATATGAATTCTTAATACTCAAATTTTCTCATATTATCTTTAGTTTATAATTTGTACACTTTAGAATGTAATTATATTGTATTATTGCCTTGGGCGTTAAATAAATAAATAAATAAATAAATAAATAAATAAATAAATAAATAAATAAATAAAGAACTAATAGAAAAAATTATTCTCAAAGCTCTTTTTTGAAGTTTGAAAATGCGGTTAAGAGATGGAGAGAACCCCCAAAACTGGATTCCATATGCGATGTGTGAGTAAAAATTGGAATAGTAAATTGAGAGAAGACAATTTAAACTAACCTTAGATTTAAGAACTCTTAACATAAAACACGTTTTCGTTAAATTGGGTGTTAGTATAGAATCAATGTGATAGTCCCAATTTAAGTTTTTATGCTTCGAGATAGAAGAAAATTTGAAAATAGTATCATTTACGTTCAGCGAGCTTATCTCATTATTAATTTTATTAACGGTACGAAATAACATTATTTGGGTTTTATCATTATTGAGTAAAAGATTATTGGATTTAAACCAATTGGAAATTAAAGCCATTACTAAATTTAATTTGTTACATATTTCTTCCAAAGAATTTCCATTAACAATAATACTATAGTGTCATCAGCAAAAAGAATAAATTTACAAAGATCTGAACAATTTGGAAGATCATTTAAATATATAAGAATAATAAAGGTCCAAGTATTGAACCTTGAGGGACACCGAGTTTGATATTTAATTTGTCTAATATTATTACCGAACCATCATCATCGCTCAAGTAAACAGACTGAGTCCTGTTTGATAAATAAGACGAAAATAAGTCAAGAGCTAAGTGATTGCGTTCAAAAATATTCAATTTGCAGTCGTTTTGCCTTACTATACTAAGTCACAATACAAAAAAAATTATTTAGAAGATTCATTGTGTCAAAAATTCATATGTTTGTCATTGGGTACGGAATATTTACTCAATGGAGCGCTTTCGGTCTGAACCTTTTTTACTGTTTTCCATTTTGTTTGGAATTTTGGAACTAGTTTCATCTTACTCTTCAGAAGTGAAAACAATTTAGACTCCTTTACCACTTCTCGGGTGGATGACATTTCTTTTCAGTGGTGTAATTTTACTTTTTCAAATAACGTTGGGTTTCGATAAAAGAACTAATTATAAGAGAAAAATGTTTAATAAAGTTTTTCAAAAAGCAAATACTTTTCAAGTTACTGGCAACTGAAAATTTTGTTTCTTTTTTGCGTTTTTCATCATTTTTTGCTAATATCTTCAAAAATATACATTTTAACAAAAATCATGTAATGAACAAAATTATATTAATTGAAATCTTAATAAATCGCTATTTTATAGTGTTTGAATAGGAACATTTTTAGGCTAGATATGAAAATGGGTTTTTTTAGTGCTCAAAATAAGCTTTAAAATGGGTACTTCTGCGTGTAAAATGAGTAACTATAATGCAAATAAAAGACGCATATAATGTTTTTTCATTTAAATCAAATAGTTTTTCAGAGCCATTTCCACCAAATTTAAAAATAATCGTATTCCATTTAGAATTAACTTGGTTTAAGAGATCTTGATGGATTCTAGAAAATGCCACAACTTTAGTACAAACGATTTTCAAAAAACTCATGATTTCATGAAAAAAAAACATAAAAAAACATCCAATTTCTCATTATAATATCTCTGAAAGAATACGTATAAAAGTATATATATATATATATATATATATATATATAATATTCGAGGTATTTTTCTGACTAATTATTGTTGTTTATTATTTTTCCATTACACAAATATTGATAGAGGTATTAATTAAGGATGCGCGGCTGTCCAACCAGAGGTCTTTCGAGCCCTTTAA